TCATTGCATTGAGGCCTGAAGGAAAAGTTAGAGTTTCTAGTCAAATTCTCTTATTTAATATATATGAAATACATGTTCTTAAAGGATGTTGTAGAGAGCACCTGGGAAAGGCCCCTGAGCTTATTGTCATCTGAATCCAGCAGTGTCAGCAGAGAGAGGCCCTGGAAACATACCTTGCCACAGGCAAGTGTGTTGTCAGTCTGACCTTTAGCTCAGGTGCCAGGGGGTGGATTTCATTATCTACATCCAGCCAGGCACCAGGAACAAACAATTATCCAGGCCCACCCAGAAGTGATTACAAAGAAGCCACAAGAATGCACATATTTTCTTTATCTTAAACTTTAGTAAAACTTCCTGGTATCTTTCTGTATAAAATAAACTTGCTGTATCGGCTCTGGGTCCCTGTCTCTCCATCAGAGGACAGCTGTCCCACCTGGTTCCAGCTTTCCCTACTGTCTTTGTGTCTGTCTCTTTCATTTTCTCAATCCCCCATCGCCCCTACTCAGGACTCCTGTCCGTTCTCTAGCCATACTAGTCACGGAAAAGAGAGAAATATTTATAGGATATTATTGGAAAGGTCATATGACTAATTAGAAGCTATACGCTAAATAAGAAGTCAAGATATCTAAGTCCCTGAAAGCCTGCCTTCATCAAATCATTCTGGTGCATTGAAAATGGTTTGTTTGTTTTTTAAAGTATCACATGTAATATCCATATTATAATGAATACTTGTTGCTTTGGCTTCCTTAGTATACTATTTTTTTCCTTTTGGAAGAGGTCCCATTGCACTGTTATTTACCTCTGACCATTACCAACTGTGGGGCTAACTTCACTCTCTGACTCCAGGGTGGGCATGGACTCAGGCCTGGCTAATGAGAGCCACTGGGGCATCCATGGAGCCATCAGGAAGGAGGTTCTCTCTGCTGGGACTGCTAAACCAGTAGGAGCTAAACATGGCACTGCAGTGGCCAAATGCCCCCGAAGATGGCCTTTATTACAGTTTAGGAAAAGGCTGCCAATCTCTCTGAATACCGTTAACCTCTTGACTTCAATAGGCTGCCGCCCCATTTGAACACCCTCCTTGCATGGGGCTTGTCCCACTCAGATGCCCTTCTTGTATGGACTTGGAACTCTGCTAGACTGCTTTCTGGGACCTTCATGTGGGCCCTGGCCACTTCTGGGCTGTCATTAAGGATGAAGGAATAAGAAAGGAAGAAATCTGAAGAAAAACTTTCAGTGCTAGTGATATTTTTAAAAGCCATTTATATTGTCTTGGTGTTTTTTTTTTAAACTCAAGTATAGATTGTGTTGCTTTATAGCCATTATTATGGAATCATTGCATTGAGGCCTGAAGGAAAAGTTAGAGTTTCTAGTCAAATTCTCTTATTTAATATATATGAAATACATGTTCTTAAAGGATGTTGTAGAGAGCACCTGGGAAAGGCCCCTGAGCTTATTGTCATCTGAATCCAGCAGTGTCAGCAGAGAGAGGCCCTGGAAACATACCTTGCCACAGGCAAGTGTGTTGTCAGTCTGACCTTTAGCTCAGGTGCCAGGGGGTGGATTTCATTATCTACATCCAGCCAGGCACCAGGAACAAACAATTATCCAGGCCCACCCAGAAGTGATTACAAAGAAGCCACAAGAATGCACATATTTTCTTTATCTTAAACTTTAGTAAAACTTCCTGGTATCTTTCTGTATAAAATAAACTTGCTGTATCGGCTCTGGGTCCCTGTCTCTCCATCAGAGGACAGCTGTCCCACCTGGTTCCAGCTTTCCCTACTGTCTTTGTGTCTGTCTCTTTCATTTTCTCAATCCCCCATCGCCCCTACTCAGGACTCCTGTCCGTTCTCTAGCCATACTAGTCACGGAAAAGAGAGAAATATTTATAGGATATTATTGGAAAGGTCATATGACTAATTAGAAGCTATACGCTAAATAAGAAGTCAAGATATCTAAGTCCCTGAAAGCCTGCCTTCATCAAATCATTCTGGTGCATTGAAAATGGTTTGTTTGTTTTTTAAAGTATCACATGTAATATCCATATTATAATGAATACTTGTTGCTTTGGCTTCCTTAGTATACTATTTTTTTCCTTTTGGGAGAGGTCCCATTGCACTGTTATTTACCTCTGACCATTACCAACTGTGGGGCTAACTTCACTCTCTGACTCCAGGGTGGGCATGGACTCAGGCCTGGCTAATGAGAGCCACTGGGGCATCCATGGAGCCATCAGGAAGGAGGTTCTCTCTGCTGGGACTGCTAAACCAGTAGGAGCTAAACATGGCACTGCAGTGGCCAAATGCCCCCGAAGATGGCCTTTATTACAGTTTAGGAAAAGGCTGCCCATTCATGTAGTCAAGAGATGAAGAGAGCTTCCTGATGGCATCCATAGGCCCCAGATCAACTTTTGCTTGAAATCATGTTGCATCCCTGAACTTCATCATTGTTTGATCCATTACATTCTTTTGTTCGCTTAAGACAATTTGAATTGGGCTTTTGCTCCTCGAAACCAAAGGAGTAATTTGGTTAACCACATCATTTTTAAAAAAATTGTATTTATTGGGGGAAATATTGGTTTCTTCTTTGAATTGCCTGTTCATAACTTAAGCCTTGCCTTCTTTTTGTTTTGAAAGAATCCTTGTTCATTCCAGATGTTAAAGCCTTGTAAATTTTACATTTTTCTCTCAGTCTGCCTCTCATTTGCTTACTCTATCAACATTGTCATTTGCTGGAAAGACATCTTTATTTTTGATTTAATAAAATTTTATTTTATGGTTTGTACTATTAGAATTTTACTTAAGAATTCCTTTTGTTTGTTAGTGAAGATACACTCTTACATAAGCCTCTCTAAAGTGTATCATTTTATTATTCACTTTTGGGCCTTTAATTCATCTATAATTTCATGTGCATGTGGTGTTAGATCTTCTTTCCACAGTGACTCACTTTTCCACAGACACCACTGCAATAGTTCTTCTTGTCCCCTTAATTTGTGGTGTTTTATTCAGATATTAAATTCCCAGGTAAGTAATGATATGTTACTGAGTTTTCTGTTCTGATACATTGTTCCACTTTCTATACTTGCACAATAGTGTATTTTCTTCTGTGATAATACATGTTAATAACTGGCAAGAAGATCTTCCCCTTAGCTCCTTTTTTTTCAAAGTTGTTTTAATTATTTGAGGGCATTTATTCTTTCCATACAAATTTTAGAATTACTTCACACAGTCCCTAACAAAATCTGGTTGGCATTGTTATTGGCATAATTTTGACATCAGAGATTAATTTGATGAAAATTGACAACTTTACAAAATTAAGTTGTCTCATCCAACAGCATAAAATATTGCTTTGTTTATTCAGATCTTTTAAATGTTTTCTCATAGAGTCTGAAAATTATTTCTCTAGGGAAATAATTTCTCAACTGCAATTCTTATTTTCTCTCTTTCTGGGATAGTATTTTCAAAATGTTGGTATTTCTACCTCTGTTCCTGTGTCTCTTAGATATGTTTTTATTCCCTTAAACCTTTTTGATACTTTCTAGAAGAGGTTCCTTCAAGGTTTATTGATTTAGTCTTCAGTAGTATCCAACCTATTTATCCAATTTATTGTATCTTAGTTCAATTATATTCAATTCAAAGATTTCTTTTCCCCCATTCATATTATTAATATCCTCTGTATGTCATTGAAGAAATGTATTATGATTACTTTAAAATTCTCTTCATGTGGTAGATTATTTTCATTTTGATTTTTTTCTTTTATGCTGGTTGTATTTCTTATGTGATTAGTTGTGTAGGCAATTAGCTAGTATTTCTCTGAGTGTATCAGCTATTTGTCTGGAAAAAACATTAGATCTTAGGCAGTTTCCAATGAGTAAATAATTTTAGTGAAGGCAAATGGTATGCAAAAAATAAACCAGGCTGATGCGATAGTGTGAATACAGGAATGTTTGGTATGTTAGCATCAACTGGTTCAGTGGAGAGGAGAGTAAACTAAGAAAGGGCAGCAATGAGCAGAGCTGTAAGATGAGGACAAATATGCTTGGTATATAATTGAAGAATAGGCAGAAGGCCAAGGTCATTGGAGCCGGATGACGGAGTGCTGGAGTGATATTGGGTGAGAACAGAGAGATAGGTAGAGCCCAGATTATACAGGGTCTTATAAACTATGCATTAGGAGTTTGTCTTTTATTCTGAATGAGCTGGTAATCTTCCTTAGGTTTCTAAATAAGGAATGCAATGATCTCATTTGCTCCCCCTGACCAATATTTTATTATGATAATTTTAAACATACAACAAAGTTGGAAGAATTTTACAGTGAACATCTCTATGGCCACAAATCAATTCTACTATTATCATTTTATCAAACTTGTTTTATCATATCCCCTATTCACCTATCCATCCATTAATCTATCAGATTTTTATGTGTTTCATGATTTATAGACCACAGTACATTTACCTCTAATTAATCCAGTTATATATATTGTTTCCTAATGTTTTGGGTGGTTCTTTTTATTTTGATGAAAAATTTACATAACAATGTATAAATTGATGACATTATATAAATATTTCCACCTGTGGGAAACAAACCCTATTGAAATATAGACCATTACCATCACACTAGAAACTTTGTGCTTTTTCCCAGTTAATAATAACTACTGCCCTAGAAGCAACTACTATACTCATTTATTCCCACCATAGATTAATGAAGCTTGTTGTAAAATTTCCTATAAATATACTATTCATATAGTGTGTGCTCTTTTATGTAAAGTGTCTTTCACTCAAGACATTCCTTGTGAAATTCACCCAAGTGTTGAATAAGTCATCCATAATTTATTCCTTTTTGTTGTGGAATAGTATTCCATTATATAAATGCACCACAGTTTATCCATTTTACCATGAACATCTTGGCTGTCTGCAGTGTGTAGCAATTACAATTAAAGCTGCAATTAGAATTGTTGCCCAAATCTTTTAATAACATATACTTTTTGTTTCTCTTAGGCAAATCCCTGGAGTAGAATTAATTCGTCATAAAGTAGGTGAGTTTTGTTTTACAGGAAGCTAGCTGACTTTTCCTAAAGTGCATGTACCATCCTTACTTAGTGTTTAAAAACAATTATTCTGGTTGTTATCTGAAGGTTGTTAAGGGGACAGGAATAACAAACCAGGAAGCCAGTATATTGTCATAGCCTATAGCCAGAATCTATGTGTTTGTTATATCTCCGTAAACGTACAACAAAGTTGTATGATTTACTGTGATCATACTAAGTTAAAATCATATGATTTTTAATTGTTGGTAAAGCTGATTTACTGTAATCATACCAAGTTAAAATCATATGATTTTTAATTGCTGGTAAAGCTGATATCTGACTCAGAATGCGATAACCACAGGTTGGCTGCAGCTGTGTACTTTGGAGATATGGGAGAGATTAAAACCCAACTCCTGCTTACAGGAAAGAGGTTTTCATTTTAGAGAAGGTAATCCCTGTAAATCACGCAGGAAAAATGCTCCCGTGAGCCTCGGTGGCATTTTCCATGTGAATGATGAGGTATCAAGCAAAGCTGTATTAATTTTCCTTTTTTTTTTTTTTAAATCATGAGGCTTGTAGATTTTTTCTTTTTTATTAAAATATAAAACACAGATTTAGAAAAGCCACACGAAAGAATTGTATAACTTCTAATTATTATGAGATGAATGCTCTCTTTGCTAACACCCAGGCCAAAGTATAAAGTTTTGCCAGCCATTGGAGAAGCCCCTCCAGGCGACCTGTCCCAACCAGAGCATTCCCTCCCTCCAAAGGTAAACACTGCCCTGACTTTTATGGTAATCACTTCCTTCTTATTATTTTATCGCTTGAGTATATACTTTATTAGATACTATAGTTGATTTTGTCTATTTAAAAATTTGATATGGCATCCTCCATTCCATTCTTTTTAAAAAATGTTTAATTCATTAATTACAGTTTATATTCAATATTATTATGTATTAATTTTAGGTGTATAGCATAATGGTTAGACAATCATCTAATTTACAAAGTGGTCCCTACCAAATTTTTAGTACCCACCTGGAACCATACATCATCCTATATAATTAAAGCCTAATATGCTAAGTGTCATCCGTTCAACCATTCAAAGCGTAATATGCTAATGATGTGTTAAGGCTGTGGTTCTCAACCTGTGGGTCGCAACCCCTTTGGGGGTCGAACGACCCTTTCACAGGGGTCGCCTAAGACCATCGGAAAACACATATATAATTACATATTGTTTTTGTGATTAATCACTATGCTTTAATTATGTTCAATTTGTAACAATGAAAATACATCCTGCATATCAGATATTTACATTACGATTCATAACAGTAGCAAAATTACAGTTATGAAGTAGCAACAAAAATAATTTTATGGTTGGGGGTCACCACAACATGAGGAACTGTATTAAAGGGTCGCAGCATTAAGAAGGTTGAGAACCACTGCACTATAACCTCTGAGCCTCAGTTTCTTCGTCTGTAAAGTGGGAGGGGGTAGAGTAACAGTGTCTATCTGTGCCCAGTGCCTGAAACACCTGACTGATAGGAGGAGCTCAACAAATAGTCACCTGGAAGGTGACCTGGAGTGAATACAGACTTAGACCAAGATTTTCTTGAACATTGTAAACTTAATTCATTTTAATCTCTGCATGCCCCGTGACCCTAGGTCCCTATGATGTGCACTGACCACTAGGGGTAGACAGTTGACTGGTCGACCAGTTGCTATGACGTGCACTGACCATCAGGGGGCAGACGCTCTGACCAGTAGGTTAGCTTGCTGCTGGGGTCTGGCCGATCAGGACTGAGTGAGACGGGCGGGACACGCCCTGGAGCCCTCCCGTGGTCCCTCCCTGGCCCCAATCAATTGTGCACTGGTGAGGTCCCTTCGCCTGGCCTGAGCCCTGTCTCAATCCGGGATCCCTGGAGGAATGTCAGAGAGCCAGTTTCAGCCCTATCCCACAGGCCACTCCCCTCGTGAGGGCACCAGATGCAGAGCTCATGGCTGGTAAGTGCTGCTGCAGTGCGAGCCTCTTCTGATTGGGACTGATTGGGTGTGAGCCTGTGGCAGGTGCAGTGGGGCCGGGATGAGTAGGAGTGGCAGGTAGGAACTGCAGGCAGTGTTGGATTGTGGATTTTGGCTCAATCCCCGCAGGCCACCCAGAGGGACCCCACCCATGAACGAATTTGTGCACTGGGACTCTAGTTATTGTAATATTATTGACAATATTCCTTATGTTGTGCTTTATACCCCAGTGATTATTTTGTAACTGCTATTTGTACTTCTTAATCTCTTCACCTTTTTACCTAGTCTCCCCTCTGCCAATCAGCAGTCTGTTCTCTGTATCTATGAGCCTGTTTCTATTTTTTGTTTATTTTGTTCCAAAGTGTAATATGCTAATGATGTGTTAAGGCTGTGGTTCTCAACCTGTGGGTCGCAACCCCTTTGGGGGTCGAACGACCCTTTCACAGGGGTCGCCTAAGACCATCGGAAAACACATATATAATTACATATTGTTTTTGTGATTAATCACTATGCTTTAATTATGTTCAATTTGTAACAATGAAAATACATCCTGCATATCAGATATTTACATTACGATTCATAACAGTAGCAAAATTACAGTTATGAAGTAGCAACAAAAATAATGTTATGGTTGGGGGTCACCACAACATGAGGAACTGTATTAAAGGGTCGCGGCATGAGGAAGGTTGAGAACCACTGC